GCCATGCCACATGAACGGCCAACTGCATCATCCGCAAGCGCTTACAGTGCACAGACCCCAACGAGTCTAATTCTGATACTGCAATGTCAAGTACGGTGTACTTGGGCTGAGTGCAACTGGACCGCCTCAATTTGGATCCGAAAGAGGGATACCACTAGGATAGGCTGGAAAAAGACTAATTCCATCCCACAATTGCGCATAAAGCTGCAAACGCCCCTTTACACTCAATTTGACCTGTGCAAAGTATAGCAACATACCAAAATGGGAGTAGCTTCATTTCGTGCTGGTGCAAGTTTAGTCTACCATGTTTGGGTCCGTGTTGCATCTCTTTGGGCATTCTAGCACATGGAATTGCCTTGCCCCCCACTCAATTTGGGAACAGAAAGTATTCTGCCCTCGGCATAAAAACGAGCGTATCATCATTTTCCTTCCGGGACAGCGTTCTAGTTCAGCGTGTTTATGAATGTGGTAGACGCGCCACGCCTCACTGGGCAATCCACCATCTGCAAATGTGGTTACAAATTCAGTGCGCCACGGATGTGTATGGTGAACTAATTAGAATCATTATCATCTTAAAATATATTAGCACCCTCGTCACTATTGTTTGGTGGGAGGTTGTCACACACAGCCACATGATCGGGGGTGCAAACCGGTCTCCAATTGGCCATGCCACATGAACGGCCAACTGCATCATCCGCAAGGGGAGCGCTTACAGTGCGCAGACCCCAACGAGTCTAATTCTGATACTGCAATATCAAGTATGGCGTACTTGGGCTGAGTGCAACTGGACCGCCTCAATTTGGATCTGAAAGAGGGATACCACTAGGATAGGCTGGAAAAAGACTAATTCCATCCCACAATTGCGCACAAAGGTGCAAACGCCCCTTTTTCACCCAATTCGACCTGCGCAAAGTATAGCAACATACTACAAGAATGACAACTCCAGTCATGCACACAGTTAAACTGCCTTTGTGCTAGACTTGTACTCAGCACGAAAATCGGGACCTTAATGTTATTGTGACTCGCCTCGGAGGTTCACACAGTACTATTTTAAAAACTAAGTTGTATCACCGTGATCAAGAATGTTAAAGAGGTGCAATCCATGAAGTTAACTCACTTTACACAATCCCCTCTCTAAATCCACCTAAATCAGCGTTCATTGTTATCTTTTTTTCCCTGTTCAATCTTGTTTTCTTTTCAGGCATCTTTGGATGTGCAGGTGGGCGGAACTTTCTTGTTGCATCTGTTGGCCATCATTTTGCCACATTATTTAACCCTTTCATGCACCAATAATGACAACCTGTGACCAGGCCGGTCTCCAATTGGCCATGCCACATGAACGGCCAACTGCATCATCCGCAAGCGCTTACAGTGCACAGACCCCAACGAGTCTAATTCTGATACTGCAATGTCAAGTACGGTGTACTTGGGCTGAGTGCAACTGGACCGCCTCAATTTGGATCTGAAAGAGGGATACCACTAGGATAGGCTGGAAAAAGACTAATTCCATCCCACAATTGCGCACAAAGGTGCAAACGCCCCTTTTTCACCCAATTCGACCTGCGCAAAGTATAGCAACATACTACAAGAATGACAACTCCAGTCATGCACACAGTTAAACTGCCTTTGTGCTAGACTTGTACTCAGCACGAAAATCGGGACCTTAATGTTATTGTGACTCGCCTCGGAGGTTCACACAGTACTATTTTAAAAACTAAGTTGTATCACCGTGATCAAGAATGTTAAAGAGGTGCAATCCATGAAGTTAACTCACTTTACACAATCCCCTCTCTAAATCCACCTAAATCAGCGTTCATTGTTATCTTTTTTTCCCTGTTCAATCTTGTTTTCTTTTCAGGCATCTTTGGATGTGCAGGTGGGCGGAACTTTCTTGTTGCATCTGTTGGCCATCATTTTGCCACATTATTTAACCCTTTCATGCACCAATAATGACAACCTGTGACCAGGTAACATGATAAGCTGTCCACTTTAGTCACCGCTGTCCTTGAAAACATTAAAGTTGGTCACAGAGGAAGGAAAGTGATGTATTATTTTCAGACGCTTGTTTCCATCGCCTCTGTGTATTTGCTGACCCACTTCATTCTCCTGCTCATTTCCTTAGTCCTTAAATCTTAGTAAGTACTGCTGTGTGTTCTCTCATTGCTTCTTTCAACCTTGTGTAGATGGAGTTGGGTTGACAGTATTTATCTCAGGGTCTACGGTTTGTCTTCTGATTACATTTTTAGTAAGGCAACTCCCTTTCTTTGTGGCTCCATCCACCTCAGCATTATTAGTATATTAACTGGTCCATTGCTTTGCAACGGCTTTTTGGTTCTGCCTTCTCATTTTCTCGTCTTTCATGCTTGCGTGCATCCATGGTTGCAAGAAAATCTATTAAACCGCACATGGTTATTGTGCTTACTTTGGTTTACGCATCACGACTGAAGCCAAACATTACATTCATAGCTACCATCCTAAGTTGATTTTTCAAATGTTACAGCCCTCACACACATAACAGATTATGGGGATGGAATTTGCTGGTGTGGTCTTACTACACTTATGGTGTGTCATGTAGTCAAGATGACACAAGCCATAGTGCATGTAGACTGCCAGACAAGCAAGGCTAACGCTTATCTGATGGTTGCAAACTCTTCTCTCTGTCTCTATTCTTGTGATTTTTATAAGGAGGAGGCAGGTCATACAAAACCAATCCCAGCTACAATTTTTGTGTCAAACAACAATGAAATCTAAAGGTCACTTCCTCATTGGCAATCATTTGGTTTTACATCACAGTCACAGAGTCCAGACCTCGACCAAAGTTTTTGTGATCCTGACTCTTGAACAGGTTTGACATTGACAATTGTTAGCCCCTGACTGTTTTCTGAGCAGAAATTGAATTAAAAAGCATGTGACCCACAGAATAAACAAGTTTGCGACACTACAAGCATTGTTTTTCACCTGTTGAATCCTTAAACCTCAAAGATTGTTGCCAAAATACAGAACAAACTACCAAAAGGAGGTCAACAGACATTGGGTGTCCAAATTAGGATGAAAACGATTGTGGTCCTTAGTGGATGATTCACAATTGTTTGAAAGAGCTCCAGACCAAGAACTTTTGTTTCTGGCATGTCAGCATGAAACAACACGATGTAATGGGCATCAAGTAAATCAACACTCATTGTGAGAAAGATCAAACGTTACAAAATATAACTCAATTCACAGATTTCCTAGATGCTGACAGGGTTATAATGGTTTTGGATTTTTCATTGCAGTTATTTCAGTTTGACTTGTATTTTTTTTAATTTGATAGTTTCAATTATTTTCAGAGCGGATTCATTTTCTTATCAGATTTTATTTTATAATGCTTCATTTTAATGTCATAAAATAAGATAAAGTACAATTCTCAAACAACTTTTTGACCTTCCTTCTTCTGTACTGATGTACAGCAATTCCAAAAGAAATATATTTCAAATGAACCCCAAAACGTCATGTATGATATTAAATGACAAAGATGAAAGCAAAGGTCATTTTTTTATGATGTTTATTGTTGGCTGGAGAATGGAGGAAGTCTCAAAGACACCTTTTGGTGGTACTGGCTCGTTTAGTGTCGACTGCACAAAGCTTGCATCATTGTAAATGATCTGATTGCTTCAGTCAGTCAGGCCTTCATTGAACAAGAGTAGAAAATACGGTCAACAGATTACATGAATATGATGATTGACCATTCTCGCCCACCCATTCCATCCCCCATTGATTGGCTTTTTTTTTTTTTTTTGCTTTCTTGATGTGGACACACTGTATTTGAAAATGCACACATTTCATCATCAGTACAAGACCATTTCCATTCAATTTTTCTGATCTGCTTTATTCTCAAAAGGGTTGCAGGGGGTGCTGGAGCCTGTCCCAGCTGTCTCCAGGCAAACTGAACTGGTTGCCAACCAATCGCAGGGCACACATAGACAAACAACCATCCGCGCTCACACTCACACCAAGGGATAATTTAGAGTGTTCCATTAACCTGCCATGCATGTTTTTGGAATTTGGGAGGAAACCTGAGTGTCCGGAGAAAACCCACACAGGAACGGGGAGAACATGCAAACTCCACACAGGGAGGCCGGAGACAGAATCGATCCCTGCACCTCTGCACTGTGAGGTCGACGCGCTAACCAGTCGGCCTCTGGGCCGCCCAGTACAATATCTTATTAAATAAATTATCCATCCATCCATCCATCCATTTTCCAAACCGCTTTATCCTCACAAGGGTCTCAGAGGGTGCTGGAGCCTATCCCAGCCATCTTCGGGCAGAAGGCAGGGGACACCCTGAACCAGTTGCCAGCAAATCACAGGGCACACAGAGACGAACAACCATCCGCGCTCACACTCACACCTACGGACCATTTAGAATACAGTGTTCAGTGAGCCTGCCACACATGTTTTTGGAATGTGTGAGGAAAGTGGAGTACCCGGAGAAAACCCACACAGGCACGGGGAGAACATGCAAACTCCACACAGGGAAGCCGGAGCTGGAATCGAACCCGGTACCTCTGCACTGTGAGGTTGACGCGCTAACCACTGGATCACCGGGCCGCCTAAATAAATGACGCAACAGAAAAACACAATAAACTATCTGTCCATCCGTTTTTCATATTGCTTTTCCTCACTATGTTACGAGTGACTTGGAGTCGATCCCAGCTGACTTTGGGTGAGACGTGTGGTACAGCGTGCACTGCTTGTCAGCCAATTGCAAGACATAGCTTACATAAAATATGCAGGAGCCCTGATTCAAATCCTGATCGTCAGAACAATGAGCCAGATGTGCGAACCACTCATCCACCCTGTCACATAACAAATATGCAAAAACCACATTGCCATGTACACTTCAGTAATTTCACTGCCTAAAATCAGGTACTAGTGCCCCCCTCGTTTCTGCACGATATTTTCTATTTTCACAAACCCTGCTGGCTGCTGCTTCGTAAAGAGAGCGATGGATGAGTTCCTACCTCTTCACGGTGGATGCCAGTGTATTGACAGGGTTCCAAGCCACACACTCCAACTGAGAGGTCATTTGATATAAATTTTCACCACTGTGGAGGACAGACAAGATGTAGAAAAAAAAAATCATGAACTGGGCATAGGACTGTCAATTGCCAGGACTGGAGGAGGGTGAGTGGCCCCTTGTGATAGCGTCAAGTTGTCCCCAAAGGAAGCACATTGGTGACAAATGACAACACACACACATACACACACGCACATACGCAAGCACACCGCAACACAATTTGAAGTGAAAGCAGATAATAATACACTCCTCAAGGCAGCTGAACTCACCGGCAACATGAATGGAACAAAGCCAAGAGGCATTGAGTGACCTTCCATGCTCTCATTTATGCACACAAACCGATGCTGGATTTACAACCTCCCATATACACCACCTGTAGCCTGCAAACAATCCGGAGTAGACGCGATATCCTGCTCAACGCACAGCTACTTTTGAGTGAGCCCACACAGACAGCACAGACGGAGTTGACATTGATGCTGGACGCAAGATTCAACATTGCGACTGGAAAGTAATAAAACAGCATGTTCTTTTGATAGCACAAATCTTGGGGGTGTAAACCGAAATCTTGTTTGCATTTAATCCGATATCTTCGTTCTTGCTGTTAAATGGTAGAATCCAAAAGCCAGCGCATGTCGTTCATACTCGTTACCCAACCTTGACTGGGCTCATTTTACATTAAAAATCTCACAGCACACTATCACCAAACAAATTTGGTTCAGAAAGTCTGGACCTTGAAACAATAATGATCTTGTCTTGATTTACTCACAAATATACTCTATTCGGTGTGAAACTAAGGTCTTTTTAGTTCAACAAAAATCTATTACGTTGTTATATGAATGGCACCATGGGCAAAAAGATAACTTGCACATTCTGCCTTCTAGTGAAAGAGCATTTACCGGTAATTCCTCTGCCTGTCACTATGCGTCGCTGGCATAGATGTATGAACACAGTATTGGTGGTCAGTAAAATCAAAATGTTCAAACTGTTCAAAAGGAATAATTTCCCACAGCATATCTGATGATCTGTCACAGAAATGTAACACGGCACCCTCGCTGGAAATGACAGCATTATATAATAAGGGGAAAACTTCTGGACGCTGTACCACTGAGAGGTAAGAATTTGGTCAAATTTCACCACAATTAGTCCTTTACATAAATGGTGTCCTTGCTGCTCATGAGAAAAAAAATCCCTGATCAAAATGAAAAGATTCCGAAAAGGTGATTTTTTTTTTGATAGCTGAATGGATACCATTGAAAAAGTGGAGCAAAATCCCTGATCAAAATGAAAAGATTCCGAAAAGGGGATTTTTTTTGATAGCTGAATGGGTACCATTGAAAAAGTGGAGTCAACCTTGACTGGGCTCATTTTACATTAAAAATCTCGCAGCACACTATCACCAAACAAATTTGGTGCAGAAAGTCTGGACCTTGAAACAATAATGATCATGTCTTGATTTACTCACAAATGTACTCTGTTCGGTGTGAATCTAAGGTCTTTTTAGTTCAACAAAAATCTATTACGTTGTTATATGAATGGCACCATGGGCAAAAAGATAACTTGCACATTCTGCCTTCTAGTGAAAGAGCATTTACCGGTAATTCCTCTGCCTGTCACTATGCGTCGCTGGCATAGATGTATGAACACAGTATTGGTGGTCAGTAAAATCAAAATGTTCAAACCGTTCAAAAGGAATAATTTCCCACAGCATATCTGATGATCTGTCACAGAAATGTAACACGGCACCCTCGCTGGAAATGACAGCATTATATAATAAGGGGAAAACTTCTGGACGCTCTACCACTGAGAGGTAAGAATTTGGTCAAATTTCACCACAATTAGTCCTTTACATAAATGGTGTCCTTGCTGCTCATGAGAAAAAAAATCCCTGATCAAAATGAAAAGATTCCGAAAAGG